TAAATTTTATTATCATTAAAATTTAAAAATTAAAAAAATTAAAATTTTAATAGTGTTTAATAATTATTTTGTTTATCAATTTTAATCTTTTCTTTTTTAAATTTAATTTTAAATTGTGATTTTATTTAGAGATTTCAATATTTTTTAAAAATTAAAATAATGATTATTTATTTACCTTTTATTATTAGTTAAAAATTGAAAATTAAATGAATTCAAAATAAAATTATTGCTTTATTAATAAGATAAATAAAATTAAAAAATGTCATCCACCATGCGTCAATATTACAACCTATATTCATTTATTTTTATTTTGATGGAATATATTCAATTATTAGGATACCTCAATTTGAAACACTCTATATATACTCTTCTAGAGTACTCTATTGCGCCAAACAAAGATATGAGGATCTTCACAAAGCTCTCTGCACCACTCTGCCTCCTTTTTGTCTTCCTCTGTCTTAAAACTGCCTTCTCATCCTCTATACATGCTTCTTCCTTCTCAACAACACATCGTTGCTCTCATGAGGAGGCTCTTGCTTTGCTGCAATTCAAGACATCCTTCTCCATCAATTACACTGTTCCGTATTCATATTGTTGGGGGGAAAATTATTCTAAGATTGAGTCATGGAAGGAAGGTATAGACTGTTGTTCCTGGGATGGGGTTAGCTGTGATAATGTCACAGGCCATGTAATTGCCCTTAATCTCAGCTGCAGTTTCCTTTATGGCACCTTTCCTTCCAACAGCACTCTTTTCTTCCTCAGAAACCTGCAGAGCCTCAATCTTGCCTTGAATGATTTTAGGCTTTCCAAGATTCCACCAGAAATCAGTCAGTTTACTAGACTAAAGCATCTTGATGTCTCTTCTTCTCAATTTTCGGGCCAAGTTCCGAGAGAAATTGCTCACCTCCCCAAGTTAGTTTCTCTCAATCTCTCTAGTTACTTCTATGATGATTCTCCTGAATTGATCCTTGAAACAACTACCTTCAGAAATCTTGTTCACAACTTGAGTGAGGTGAGAGAACTTGTGCTTCGTGGAGTGAACATGACATCTGTTAATCCTCGTTTCTTCATGAATCTCTCTTCTTCATTGACTACTCTTGATCTTATTGAGAGTGGGTTAAGCGGAAACTTTCCAAACAGTATTTTTCGCTTTCCAAATCTCAAGAATTTTTATTTAAGTGGAAACCGGAACCTCACTATTGATCTTCCAAGTTCTAATTGGAGCAGTCCTCTCCAACAGTTGTATTTAGGTTATATGGATTGCGGAAGGCGATTGCGAGAGTCTGTAGGAGATCTTAAGTCATTACAGTCTCTGAGTCTTGGCTGCAACTTGGAAGGTTCCATTCCAGCTTCCATAGGGAACTTATCTCAACTTACTTACCTAAGCCTCTTTTATAGCAATCTTAGCGGACAAATCCCACCATCACTTGCAAACCTCACCCAACTTACCTCTCTTTTCCTTTCCTCTAATCAGTTTTCTGGTCCCATTCTAGCTTCCATATGTAACTTAAGGCAACTTACTAGCCTATACCTCTCTTCTAACAATCTTAGAGGACAAATCCCATCATCACTTGCAAACCTCACCCAACTTACCTTTCTTGACCTTTACCATAATCAGTTTTCTGGTCCCATTCCAGCTTCCATAGGTAACTTAAGGCAACTTACTAGCCTAGACCTCTCTTCTAACAATCTTAGCGAACAAATCCCATCATCACTTGCAAACCTCACCCAACTTACCTCTCTTGACCTTTCCGATAATCAGTTTTCTGGTCCCATTCCAGCTTCCATAGGTAACTTAAGGCAACTTACTAGCCTATACCTCTATTATAACAATCTTATTGGACAAATCCCATCATTACTTGCAAACCTCACCCAACTTACCTTTCTTGACCTTTCCTATAATCAGTTTTCTGGTCCCATTCCAGCTTCCATAGGTAACTTAAGGCAATTTACTATCCTATACCTGGATTCTAACTATCTTAGCGGACAAATCCCATCATCACTTGCAAACCTCACACAACTTCGCTTTCTCTTCCTTTCTCATAACTTACTTAATGGCACGTTGCCACCTTGGATTTTCACCCTGCCTTTGTTAGAGTACTTGTATCTTCGTCATAACCAATTTCAAGGTCAAATAAATCAATTCCAGCAAAACTCACTCACACACCTAGATTTGTCAAACAATAAACTCCAGGGCTCAATTCCTAACTCA